CAGGTGGGATTCCACCCAGCCCTGTGCCGTCTAAGCTGCCTGCTGAGTGCAGAGTGGCAGCCACAGACAGTATATCCCTGGCTAAAGGGGATGCAGAGAGGTATGGTGACACTTGAGGAGAGACTGGGGACAGAGGCTTTGGGGACAGAACTGAGAGAGTAGCCAGCGGGATCCCAGTGCGGACTCCTCCCTCATATGGCAGCAGCATGAAAGGACTCAATAACCCTGCCCCCAGGAGGGACTCTGCTCCACCCTGAGCTGTCTAAGGCAGCCTGCTGAGTGCAGAGTGAATAGATTAACAGCTGAAGGAGACAGCCCCAGACAGCAGATTCCTGGAAGTCTCGAAAAGACTGCCTGAAGTCAGACAGGGTCAACATCTGACATCATCAGAGGCAGATCCAGAAAGTAAAAACAGTGGTCTCCAACCATAGAAGTTCACACCACAAAGTCAGGAAATCAAGACAGATCAATTTAAGAAGCAGAAGCAAAAAAGAAGAGTCTCACAAATCATGGGAAGACAAAGAAACAACCCTCAGTTGAAGAGAAAGGAGGAATCCCCAGAAAGAGAACTAAGTGAAATAGAGGCAAGTAAACTATCAGATATTGAGTTCCAAACAATGGTTCTAAGGTAGCTCAAAGAGCTCAGTGAGCTCAGAGAGAATTACAAAAGTAGTACAGGGAAACTATGAGGAACTTACTGCAAACTGTATCAGCATGAAAAAGGACATAGAAACTATCAATAAGAGACAAGAGGAAATGAGGAATACAATTTCTGAAATGAAGAACACAGTAGAAAAAATCCAAAGCAGACTAGATGAAGCCTATGATAGAATCAGTGAGTTGGAGGACAAGGTAGAAAAAAGCTCCCAGAAAGAGCAAGGAAATGAAAAAAGACTCAAAAAGAATGAAGAGGCATTTAGGGAAATGCAGGACAACCTGAAATGTAATAATATCCATATAATAGGGATACCAGAGGGTGAAGAGGATGAGGAAGGGATAGAGAACCTGTTTGAAAAAGTAATGATGGAAAACTTCCCTAATTTGAGAAGAGAAAACATCACACAAGTCCAGGAAGCACAGAGGGTTCCATTCAAGAGGAATCCATGAGGCCCACTCCAAGGCACATCATCATTAAAATGGCAAATATCAAAGACAAACAGAGAATCCTGAAGGAAGCAAGGGAGAAACAGGTAGTAACTTATAAGAGAACCCTGGTATGGCTGGCAGCTGACTTCTCGACAGAAACACTGCAAGCCAGAAGGGAATGGCAAGAAATATTCCAAGGAATGAAAAGCAAAAGCCTGCAACCAAGACTGCTCGACCCAGCAAGGCTCTCCATTAAAATGGAAGGCGAAATAAGGAGTTTCCCAGGCAAAAGAAGGCTAAAAGAATACACCTCCACCAAACCAGCATTGCAGAATATATGCTAAACAGACTGCTTTAAGATGAAGAAAAAGTTTCTATGAATACCTAGTTCCTTTCAGAGTTGCCAATACTTGATATTACCGATATTTTTAATCCTCATTAATCTGATTGTCACAATGATATTATTTTAATTGTTCCTTTACTATTTGTTGAAACTAAACCTGTTTTAGTATATTTCTTGCCTATTTCTATTATTTTTTTAAAAAGGCTTTAAATGACTTTTTTGGTATTTTTTACCCATTTATTGATTAAAGGTTTGTAGAACTTTTTTCCCTAAAAAAAGAACCAAAAAACCTATTAACCATATTTTAGATGTGTTGCAAATATTTTTCTGTTCTATTCCTTGTCCTTCAACTTTTTTAATTTGAACATTACTATATAGTTAAATGTTTACTATTGTCATATTGTCAATATTTACTTTATAACTTCTGGGGTTGAATATTTTACTTCAGGTCATAAAAAATATTAGTTCTATTTTCTTAAACTCCTTAGATTCTACATATTGATTTTTAACTCACCTGAATATTTCTTGTATAATGTATGAAATAGGGCTCAATATTTATTTTATTTTAAGTAATAGTAGTCCATGAACCTTATTTGTGGAATAAGCCTTATTTTCCCCATTGGTTTGAAATATCAACTTAATCATACATATATTAATCAGATATATACATTTGTGTCTAGAATGTTCATTATATTTCATTGATCTACTTGATTATTTCTGTGCTGGTGTCATATTGTTTTAATTGCTAAGACTTCATCATAGTTTTAAATTTTTAGAAATATAATTAACTTTGACATTTAAAAAATAAATAAAATCAATCTACATTTAAGAAAGAGAGAGAGAGATGGAACTCCTACTTTATGCAACAACATGGATGGAAGTGGAGAATATTAAGCTAAGTGAAATAAGCCGGTTTGATGAAAGACAATTACCATATGATCTCACCTATAAGTGGACTCTATTCAACAAAATAAACTAATGAACAAAATAAACCGCAGGCATAGAAACATGGAGCTGACTGAAAGTGACCAGAGGGGATGGGGAAAGAGGACAATGGTGGAAAGAAGGGGAAGGGACTAGACAAAGAACATTAATGAATGACCCATGGACATGGACAACAGAGTGGGAATTGACTGTGGGACAGGGGTGTGGGGGTGGATGGGTGGAGGAGGGTAAAGGGGGAAAAACTGAGACAAGTGTAATGGAATAAATGTGATTTATAAATTAAAAAAAAATAATAAAAAAATAAAGTACATTCTTTACCCTCTTAGACTGTTCTACATATTAGTGGAAACAGACACATAAGCAAACATATGTAATACAAAGTGATAAGTGTTATAAAAGGGATATACACAATATTTAGTTCATAGTGGTACAATAAAGCAGGATAGCGGCAATTCTATACTTAGCTGCAAAAGTTTATACATGCTTAGAAAGGTCTTCCAGGTTAAAGAAGAGTTCACCAGGTGGAAGATGAGAAAAAATATTCCAGGTAGAATAAACAATGTGTGCAAAGACTGGGAGGCAGGTGGTGGCAAGTGCTGATTATTGGGATGGAGGGGATGACTATAAATATCTTGATTTGGTCAGAGCCAATGGAACATATGGAGAAATGGCTGGGGTGGGGGTGGTAGAGGGATGGGAAGAGACCTCATCATGAAGGCAAAAAATATGCCAAGCTAAGCAGTTCACACTTTGATTTATATATAATCAGGGTGCTATAAAAGAGCTTGAAGCAGGGGAATAACAAGAGATTAATATTTTAGGGAAAACAAGACTAGTGAAGTGAGAATAGATTGCAAAAATTTGAGATAAGCAGATCTACTAGATTTCATTGCAGGACTTCCTTTTCTGGTCAGTATGGAATAACAAGCCTGGCTTTACCCTCCTACCTGAAAAAACAGCTGATGATATTTATAAAATAATAGCTTGTAAAATCACTGGACATCAAGCAACAAAGGACAGAGATCCCTGTGAAACAGGAAACAAATGAGATGATCCCTATGGCCGATTGTCCCAGGATATGACCTTGAGAAATTTTTCAGACTGTGCTACAGGAAGGGGAGCTAGGCAGGGCTCAGCAGCCTCCCTGACTGAGGAGACAGAACTACGATCCTAGGGATTTGGGACAGCTGAGGTCATAGGGCAGAGAGGGGAGAGCTAACAGAGAGAGAGAGAGCACCTGGAGCTCTGCAGAGACTCCCTCTGCCTCCAATATTCAGCAGACTAGTGACTGATCAGCACATGTATGAGGCCAGGAAAAGAACCATTACAAGGATTAGAGAGAACAGTGCCACCAGCTGGACTAGAAAATCCAATAATTTGTGCATTGGGCACATCAAACAGGGAGGTTTTGCCTCAGTACTGCAGGATTATTATCCCTAGACTGGACACGGCTTGAGACCTGCCTAACTTATCAAAAAAAAAAAAAAAAAAAAAAAAAAAGGCCCGAAGGAGTAAAACTGTTTCATATTACTTAACTGCATGCCAGAACAAAGCTCAGTACAACTTATAGAAATATAAAAATATTCAGTGTGCAACAGGTAAAATATACAATATTTAAAAAATATTTAAAAAATGAAGTAGAGATGCAGAAGATATTTTTTTAAAGACCGAAATTAAATTTCTACAGATGAAAAATACTATCTGGATTTTCTGACCATTTGGATGACAGTGTGGAGGCAGAAAGGGAGAGGTAGATTGGGTGACATGTACTGCTTTAACAAGAACAAGGAGTAAGGAAGGAAGGAAGTGAATGGGATGGGGGGAAATTGAATTTAGGGCTTATTGACTTTGAGATACTCCATGACAGAACTCTGAGGAAGCCAATGTTTAAGGGGTCAACCAGAAAAAAAAAAACCAACCTATAAAATGATTGAGAAAGTGTGGTCCTAGAAAGAGAGGAAGAGCACGGGTAAGAGACTTCATAAAAACCAAGACAGCCCCAAATTTCAAGGAGGAAATAGTTGACATGACAACTACTGTAGAGATTAAGTAGTAGAAAATCTGAGAAGTGGCCAAAGTGGTCACTGAACCTGGCAGGTAGGCGATGATTTCACCTATGTGATGGAAGGGACCCTATCTGTTTGCTCACTGCCATATACCCAGTGCATATTTCACAGCTTCTGAAGCAGAGTGGGTGTTCAAATCCATCTGGTGAGTGGATGAATGAGTTCAGTATGGAGCTATGACCTACCCTGTGCCTGGCAGAACCTTTTTGTGATCAGAGTTGTAGCAGTTTAGTGGGATTAGAAGGGTGGAAGCTAGACTACAGTGGATTCAGTGAAGACTGGAAAGTTAAAAAAAAAAAAAGAAAAAAGAAAAAAAAAAGGGCCACAGGATGATGCAAGATCAAGGAAAACTTTTATTTTTTGCGGGGTGGGCAATGGAAAAAAAGCTGACAGTCTATCTTCACAGGGCCTCGGACCTTCTGGTTGACAACTGACCACACCTCTAAGGGTTTGTTCTCCTGTGTAATCACTTGAAGATTAAAATTCCAGAACAGGTCTGATTGACTTGCCTTGGTCACAATCAGGTGGCTTTCTGAATATGTAACTTTATTTATTTTTAAATCTGTAGCAATATTTAGTGTCCAACAGACACTACTACATCTGTTAAACAATATCCCCACTGGCAACACTTCTCTTGTGAACAGATAATAACATGGGACAACCATTGTCACTGTGGCAATTGTACCTAGGAACTATCAGAGGAGACTTGCACATGATTAGCAGGTTCTCAAGCAGTCATGCCTCAGCTTCCTCTGCAGTATGCTTTTTCTGGTGTGCTCTAGGGTACTGAATATATAACTCTAATCACCCCCTTCCCATTTGCTTTTAGTAAAGTTGGCTGAACTTGAAGAAAGATGGCTCTAGGAAAATAATCTAGTATGTTTTTCTTTTTCTTCTTTCAATCTTCAAAGAGTACTTTATGCATCTGCTATGTGCCAGGCACTCGTTAGGAGAAAGACGTTTAGTCGATAAAGGGCAAAACCAGGCATGGGTTCTGCTTCCCTAAAGGGCAGAGCTGAGGACAGGCCTGAGATGACCTCTGAAGATGATTTACTATGCATTTGACCAGGAAACCAGACACAGGTTCTGTTCCCCTGTGTAGGACTGTGCCTTGCAATTGTATAATCATTTAAATTAATTGAAGATGGAAAGAGGGAAAAGAAAAACATGCTAGATTATTTTCCTAGAGCTATCCTTCTTCAAGTCCAGCTAACTTTACTAAAAGCAAATTGCGGGGGTGGGGGGGCGGTGATTAAAGTTACATATTCGGTACACTAGAGCACACCAGACTTGCAGAAAAAGCATACTACAGAGGAAGCTGAGACACAACTACTCAAGAACCTGCTCTTCATGTGCAATTTAAATAAATGATTATACAATTGCAAACCAAAAAAATGCTCTGAAGTAAATGAATGCCCCTAAGATTGTATGCAACAAAGGAACCTGATCTGACTTGGTGGCTAAGGACTTTCTGCAGGAAGAGATACCAGAACTAAGATCTGAGGCATGAATGAAGAACAACGGCTAACAGAGCAACCAGCGTGTGCAAAAAGCCCACAGCTGGAGGGAGCGTGTTATACCCTAATAGCAACTCTTCCTGAAAATGTGACTTCATCTCTCTCAGCATCTGGCAAGTTTGACATAAGTACAGGTATATAGATGACTCCACCTGTTCTTATGTGTGATATCAGTGTACCTCAGTTAATGAAAGAAAAATTAAGATGTGGGTTAATTAGGTTGCCTACCTTTCTGAGGACACAAATGATTACTTTTTTTTTTTTTTTTAGATTTTAGCTGATATGTACCTAAAAGTTGAATATAAATTTTGCAGTAAAAATTAAGTCAGATTTTATCAGGTTGTGCCTTTCTATGGTATGATATTAAAGATCAGGTTCTGTAACTCACACTAAGGTAAAAACATAATCTAAAACAAATTTAAGAATTTTATGTTAGCTCTTCCCATAAACAACCTGATGGTTTGCTACTCACTAGACTCAGAAAACAGCCCACGAAGTCATGCAAATCAAGAGGTTCATATCTTTATGTTCAGTTTAAGAATACTTCCCAGGCCATTGAGGGTATGCATATAGAAAAAAGCCACCAAGTAACTGAAGAAGGATGTCACTTCACAGAAGCAAAGTGTGCCATTCAGTCATTACAATGGTAGAGTTGGTAAATGTGACCAGGCCAGAAACTGGTTGGACATGGGGTCAGCGGCCCAAAAAGAGTGCTGAACTTTTACTGCACATGCTTAAAAGTGTAGAGAGTTATGCTGAATTTAAAGGTTTAGATGTAGAGTCTCTGGGTATTGAGCGCATCCAGGTGAACAAAGCTCCCAAGATGTGGCACAGAATTTAGAGAGCTCAGAGGTGGATTAACCCACATTGAGCTCTCCCTGCCACATTGAGAAGATCCTTACTGAAAAATAACAGGTTGTCCCTAAACCAAAAGAGGAGGTTGCACAGAAGAAGGTATTCCAGATGAAATTGAAGAAGCAAAAACTTATGAATTAGGCATAAATTCAGCATAAAATAAATACAAATAAAAGTTAAAAACAAAAATTATTTATTTATTATTGATTTCAGAGAGAGTGATAGAAAAACATCAGTTTGTTGTTCTACTTATTTATGCATTCATTGGTTGATTCTTGTATGTGCCCTGACTGGGAATCAAACCCACAACCTTGGTGTATCAGGATGATGTTCTAACCAACAGAGCCACCTGGCCAAGGCTAAGAATTTTATTTTAAATGAACTGTTCTCTGTAGAGAATAATTATATGCAATTTGCATAAACTGCAAGAGCCAAGATAGATGTTTTCATATTTGTGCCTATAATTATTAAATATGACATGTTAAAACTTATCTACTAAATAGAATTAAATGTTTATCATAGACATAATTATTTTTCTTGGGCTTTAAAAATTCTAGCAATATATTATTAATGGTAAGATAAAATAGTCGCAAAAACATAGGTTAAGTTTTGTAATTTTTTAAGAAATATTTGTCATGCGCAAATACCTATTTCACACAAGAGTCGGTACACAGAAGCATTTTTAATAGTAGTACAAAGTTTCAATAATACATAGGGCCCTATTTTCAAATTCATTGGACTTTGGGGAAACCATTTTTAAAAATCATTCATCACCACCACCCAGTTTTATAATACTACCATTACTCAAAAAAGTTCCCTCTTGAATGTATGTTTTTCTTTTGAAAAAACCATAAACTGAAAATAAAGAATAATTATATGTAAATGACTAGACTATAAACTATAGTCCATAGTTGAAAAGTTTGTTGTTGATTAAGTAAAGCCATGGATCTCAAAAATCCAATTTCAAAAATAAATGACTTCTAATCCACACTCCCTCCTCTGCCTCCAGGCAACCACTGATCTACTTTTTGTCCCTTTACAGAAGGTTTTGACCTAGTTAAATTCAATTGAGCCAGCCAAAAATGTGGGAAAAATTGCATATACTATAATTTAACATGTAGTCCATGGCACATAATAAGAGCTCAGTAAATGGAATCTCTGGTATATACAATATATGTCTGTGAATGTATTGTAATTACTTTTTAATATTTGCATACTTACCACTGTGCAAAATACTATGTCTCCAAGAGTTACAAAGAAGAGAAATATGATTCAATTCTATCCTTCTAGGTACTTTATTCAAATCTTGAATGTTTCCATTGTCAATGAGAGCCTTCTGTAATTGTCACCTCATCTATTGTCCCTTTCTGGAGGTATGAATACCTCCACCTTTTAAAGTATGAAAGCCCTGAAGTTATCTCTTTTCAAGTCTGCATGAGCCCTTTTGGGTTTAATGTTATTGCAACAACAAACAAAAAAAGTTTCAATTCATCACATAAATTTCCTTCTTTCTCTTTTCTTGACTTTTTTTTCTGAGTGTAAGAATTTGATGCTCTTGCCCTAGCTAAGTAGCTCAGTTGGTAAGAGCATCATCCTGATAAACCAAGGTTGTGGGTTTGATGTCTGGTCAGGGAACATACAAGAAGCAAACGAATGGATGCATAAATAAGAGGCACAACAATCTCTCTCTCTCCCCCCTCTCCATCTCTCTCTCTCTCTCTAAATCAATAAATAAAAAATAAAAAATTTGATCTCTTTATTTTTGAGATTGGATTTTTGAGAGTGATGGGATTTCCAATTCAAAAGAAAATATTTTATCTAGTCATTTACACATAATTACTTTTTTTCCTGGGTTATTCAAAACAAATGTGAATTAAAATTTGTTATCAAACTGGAGTACCAATGTTTAGAAGATGAGCTAATATGGAACTTTTACATTTAATACATATTCAGGAATTTACTCTGCATCTTTTATAGATATAGCTACATATTTTAGAGCTATAAGTCTAGAAACTTGAGGACCTAATTATTTTTCATCATTTTCTTTTCAGAAATATTGTCTGAAATGAATTAGCTATGGAAATGGGAAAATTATAACTTTGACCTTACATGTTATTTATTTATAGATTTAAATGTATTGGCTAGGTCTAAAAATTTACCCAGGATATTAATTTACTACTTCATTGTAAAGCAATCCAAATAATTTAAATACAAATGACAACTTGACAATGAAAAATCTTCAGGGAAACCAAGAAAATTTTGTGCTCAAACTCAAAGGAACTTCTCTTTTTGGGGACAGAAGGACACATTCATGAGAGGAGAGAATGAGCAAGTAGGGACCCTGATGACAACATTTGAGTCTTAAGATCCATCATGTTTAAGCCATCTTGATTTCTAATATTCTCAGATACTGAGCCAACAAATTTCCTAAGCTAATTTGGTTGGATTTCTGTTGTATGCACCCTGAACTGTCCTGCTATAAGTATCTTCTATTTTTTAAAAACAAGTTTAGTATTACAAAATTTTCAAGCACATAAAAGTACATATGTGATGGATACAATAAATGACCATCAGGGTATTCACATAAGTAGAGCGTCACAAGTACCGTAGGAGTCTCTTCTGTGCTCATCCCTCTCCCAGACCTCAAGAAGACCCACTATTGTTATTTTAGTCATCGATTTTTTTCTTTTCATTATAGCTTTACTCAATGCATATATCTATTATGGGCTAAATTTTGTTCCTCCCAAATTCATTGGTTGAAGTCCTAACCCCCTCAGTATCTCAGAATATGATTGTATTTAGAGATAGGTCTTTAAAGAGATAATAAGTTAAAATGAGGTTACCAGTGTGGGTCTTAAATCCAATAAGATGAGTGTACTCATAAGAAGAGAAAATTTGGACACAGATATGTACACAAGTAAGAACATGTGAGGAGAGGGAGAAGATAGCCATCTGCAGGTCAAGGAGAGAGGCCTCAAAAGAACCCATCCTTGCTTATACATAGATCTTGGAGTTCTTGCCTCCAGAATTATGAGAAAATAAATTTCTGTTGTTTAATTCACCTAGTCTGTGGTACTTTGTTATGGTAGTCTGAGCAAATTAATATAGTATCCTTAACAGTATATTGTTTAGTTTGATTTGTTCTTGAACTTTTTATAAATAGATTCATACTTCAAGTTGTTTTCTCTGTCTTGCTTTTTTCACTAAATGTCCTGTTTCTAAGTTCCATTCATGTTGTTGTTCACTCTTTCTTTTTTATTTTTATTGATTTTTAGAAAGAGAAGAAGGGAAAGAGCAAGAGAGAGACAAAGAAAGAGAGAGAGAGAGAAATAGAGACAAACATCAATTGGTTGTCTCCCATATGTGCCCCAATCGGGGATGGAAGCCACCGCCTACGTATGTGCCTTAGCAGAGAACCAAACCCAAGACCCTTTGGTGTACGAGACTA